CCTCAGTCACCCCTCACCCCCCTCCTGCTCACCTTCACCTCACTGCCTCAGTCACCTCCTGCCCCGAATAACTCAACTTCCCCGCAGCGCCACCCCTTATCCCTTGCTCACGTCAGACAGTCACCCCCCACACTGGTTTCTCAGATATTTCCCCCTCCATGGACTTGCCATGTTATGGAGCAAATCCCTTCCCTCCGCCCATCTCTGCTCCTGACCCCGGAGCAGCCCCCCTGCATTTCTCATCCCAGACTGCACCTGCAGATCTCATCCACCCTTCACCCCGGACCTCTCATTTCTCTCCCAGCTGGCTACGGGCACACAAAGCAGCAGAGTCCCGTTCCCAGCATGCGCTGTCTCTGGCAGCATCCCAGGGGTTTGTGCGGGATTTGGACAGTACTGAGCATTGATGCTGGCTCCTAGGTTATTATTAGGGAGGATCCACTGTTGAGTGATGAGGGCAGGGGACTGAGAGTCTGGATTCCTGGGTTCCTTTCCCAGCTCTGAACTGACCAACTTTGACAGATTGAAGAAGCTCCATGTATCTCAAAGCCACTAAATCACACACTTTCATAGAAATCAAATCTCAGTCCTGCACCAGGGGGGCCCTGATCTCAGTCACAGGCTCTAAATGCCATTGTAATACGAAAATATTACTCCACTCCAGGCCCTGCTGCCTAACCCCACACAAGGGGCGGGGTGGAGGGGGGAGAGACTCCACTCTGACCCATACACCTACTAGTCCCTGACTCCTTCCCCTTCCAGATCAGCTCCCCCCACTCATCCACCCCAGGCCCTGATTCCTCTCCCATTGTCTCCCATTTCCTCTGCCCTCCACGCTCCTCCCTCTGCCCACATATAATATCCCCCACCACTGGCCTTGATCACTTTTCCTGCCTGACTATCCAACTGCTCTGAACCTTGGGCCCTTCCCCCTGCCTGGCCACCTCCCGCTCTCCACCCCACGCCTCTTCCCATGCCTGGCCACCCCCCAGCCTGGCCATCCCCACCCTGCACCCCAAGGTGTCCCCCATCTGTCCGGCTGTCCCCCCACCTGTAGGAAGCAGGTCCCAGCGGGTGTGTTCTCCTTCAGGGATACATTGTAGAAGTTGCTCCTGAACACAGGCTCATTATCGTTGACGTCCTGTAGGGCCACATGCACCACGGCCGTGGAGGAGAGGACAGGTGTCCCTCTGTCCATGGCCAGTACTGTCAGCTGGGGCTGGGGGTCCTTCTCATAATCCAGGGAGGCAGCGGTGGTGATGATGCCTGTGGCTGGGTCGATGGTGAACCAGGTGGAGTGGGTGTCCTGGCTGTGTAGGATGCTGTACCGTACCTCCCCATTGGGACCTTGGTCCTTGTCACGGGCTGTCACCTGCAGGACAAAGCTGCCTGGGTACACCACCTCGGGGATGCTCTGCTTGTATTCCTGCTGGTCAAAGAGTGGTGGGTTGTCATTGACATCCATCACCTGCAGCACAAAGGCCGACTCTGCCCGCAGCGGAGGGGTCCCTGAGTCAGTGGCCGTCACCCGCAGGTCATAGGAGTCTCTCTCCTCCCGATCCAGTAGCTGGTCCACACAGATCAAGTAGATGATATTGTCCTTGGTGGTGAGGGCAAATTTGCCGTCTCCCCCCTCCAGGGAGACATTGACATTGGAGTACTCACCATAGTCGGGGTCCGAGACAGAGATGCGTGCCACATACTGGCCAGGCTGGGCACCCTCGGAGATCTGTGGTGAGCCATCCTCGCTCAGGAAGATGATGGTCATGGTGGGCTGGTTGTCATTGTAGTCGCGCACGTGGATGGTGACAAAGGCTGTGGTGACCTCTGGGTGCATGGCCTTGTCCCGTGCCTGCACCACCAGCTCATGCACCTTCCTCATCTCATAGTCCAGCCCCTTGTTGAGCTTGATGACACCCGTCCTGGAGTCGATGGTGAAGTACTGATCAGGATCACTCTGCCGACGGTTGATCTCATACACTACAGCCCCGTTGTCACCCTCATCTGCATCGGAGGCAAAGACCTGCAGGATGCTGCTGCCTGGCTTCAGGTTCTCGGAGATGAGGGTATGGTAGCGGCTCTGGTTGAAGGCAGGTGCATTGTCATTGATGTCCTGTATGGCCACATCCAAAGTCATCTGAGTGCTCCGGGGAGGGGAGCCACCATCATAGGCCTCCAGCAGCAGGGAGTACGATGAGCAGTTCTCCCGATCCAGGACGTTGCTGACCACCAGGTCCAAGTACAGGACCCCATTGGGGCCCCTGCGTGTCTCCAGGCGGAAGGCTTGGCCCACATTCTCCCCTTTGAGCACATAACCCTGGGTGTTCAGCAGGCCACTGTCAGCATCGAAGGCTGGGTCCAGGGGGAACCTGCTGCCAATGTGGGTGTGCTCTGGGATTTGAAAGGTGTGGTGGTGCTTGGGGAATACTGGTGCATGGTCATTGATGTCATTCACCTGGACATTCACCTCCACTGTGATGCCCTCAGGGGTGACAGCAATGAAGCTGTAGCGGTCCCGGCTCTCTCGGTCCAACACACGGGCTGTTTTGATGATGCCTGTGTTCTCATCTATCTCCAGGTCCGTGGTGACACCACTGCCCTCCTGCGCGGAGATGAAGTACATGTAGGCAGTGGTGCTGGGGGGCAGTCCAGCACTGATGTCCCCGATGATGGTGCCAGCTGGCTGCTCCTCATCTATCTGTAAATCCAGGGTGCCCAGCACAGTAGAGCCCTGCCCTGGCCTCAGGCCCCCAAGTAGCAGCAGCTGCAGCAGCAGCTGGGTTGACCTTTTCAGGCACCCCATCGCTAACAACTCCCCGAGGCCTTGGGGACGGGGGTGAAGGTTGGCTCGGTCTCCTTTTCAGCGTGTGCTCCTTAATCCTGCAAGGAATGCAGATCAGAGGAGGCTGGTCAGGAGGGGAGCAGCAAGCAAAGGACAGGAAAAGCATAAGGGGGAGGGGAGCCCTGACAGGTAACCCCAGCCTTCTTGCTCTGATTCCTTTCCCTCTAGCGGGGAGACTATGAGACAAAGAGGTCGTTGGGTAAAATTAGACTCAGAGGAGAAAGAGTAAAACCAGGGCAACACAGAGGAGCAGAAGCATTTGCTGGTGCCTGAGGAGAAGGCCTGGGGCTCCCTCTGGGGCTGCATGTCCATCTCCAGGCAGGCTATAGAGCTAACAAGAAGTTCAGGCTTGTACTGTACACTATAACTGACCATTCCCATTGCAGACTGTGCTCTTCCCGAGAGCCATCCCTCATGGCCCCACAATTCCTGACGGCAACAGGCAAGTGGCTCTGCAGCAGGGTCACTAAGACGCTGAATGCTGGTCCGGACTCCTGGGTTCTATTCCAAGCGCTGACCCTGACCTAGAGCAGGCTTTTCCCTTGTCTGTGTCTCAATTTCCCCCTCTGTAAATGAATATAAATGGGTCAGCTCTGTGAGGCTGGGTCTATCCTAGGCTCTGTAAGGGTTCCAGAGGGGCTGGTGCCCAGGACTGCAGCTTGCCAGGGCACTAAGCAATGTCATCATTACCAGGTTTGGTCCCTCGGCTCTCACATGCCAATGACCTGGGGAGCACATGGTATCAGCCTGGGAGAGATGTTGACAGGCCCTCTCAGGGCACTCCCCTGGGGGAAAAAAGGGGTTAGGTGTGAAAAATGGGGGATTCAAACCTGGTATCAACTGGAAGGTGCCAGTGTGCAGCAGAGCTGGATGGAGGCTCATGCCCCAGTGGCCAATAAATCAGCAGGGCTCTACCACCCAGCAGACATCTACCATTTAGAGATTGCCCAGCTTAAAACCTGTTCCCTCTGGAGCAGAAGTGGCCCATCATTTTAGCCTGGCACAGATTTGGGATGCCCCTGAGTGGACACCGTGCCAGGATGGTTACAGCACAGTGGGAATGTGGCAGCCGTCTGTGATCCCCACAGCTGCTCTGGCTTTCCATGCATTTTCTCCCTGTCCCACACACCCTCTGCCGCTTGCACTCCTCCTTTGTCTCCTTCTCCCTGCTTCTTGGCTCTCTGGCTCCTTTGCTCCATCCCCTTCACTCCCCCTACTGTAGCTTCAGCTCACTGCAACAGTGGGAGAGGGATGGGCAGGGGAGGAGTGGATGTGATGCTGCTAACACCTACAGCCTGAAGGCTGCCTGGCCCCCTGGGCATTGCTCACGCTCCCCAGAAGCAGGCAGAACGACTTAGCAGTCAGGAAGCTCATCAAGGCGCACAAGCCCCAGTGCTGCTCTTAGCCCCCGGTAAAGCAGGGCTTAGTGGTCTGCAGGGATGGCGTCAGCATTAGCTCATACTTGGACTCTCTTGAAAGCATTTGCTGTTGGTCCCATAACCACACTCAGGAGCTGCTCATGTCAGACATGGGGCGGCAGGAACTTCCCTGCGTTCAGGGATGGAGATGGCAGCTGCTGGCTTCCAGCTGGAGATAAAGCACCCTACTATAGTGTGTGATTGGGGAGATGGATGTGACTGGACTGGCTGAAGCACCCCATAGCAGTATTAAGCCTTTCCAGGGGCAGAGAGAGTCAGGACTCCTGGGTTCTATTCCCAGCTCCAGAAGTGGAACTGTGTTAATACAAAGATCTTCCCTGTAAGCTGCAACAATTGCTAACATGGAAAGTGATCTTAGATGAACATTTCCTATACATGTAGTTTCTTTAAAAGCAGATTAACATCTGGACACATAGAGGAGCAGCCGGTGCCTCAGGACCCCATGCTTCTCTATGGACCATGGTTTAGTAACCACTGCTCTAAGGTCCCAGCTCCTGGGGCTCGATCATCTCCCAACAGGATACACGAAGTCAGTGGGACTTACTCATATCCTGGCACTGGCTTCAAGTTGGACTTATGCCACTGAGTCACTGAATGGCCTTGAAAAATCACTTCACTTCCCTCTGCTAAAGCGGTGATAATGATACTTACTCAGATTGGGGGTGGTTCAGTGGGCTGTGTGTGTGGATGGGACAACAGTTTCTGGCAGTTGAGACAGGCTAGGCCTTTGGCCTGCAATAAGTCTCTAATGACCCAACCTTGGCTTGCTGGGGCCATGCTGAGTCCGGCTAAGGACAATGGGAGGGGGGCATATCGGGTTTAGGCCCTTGGCTGAGGCTAGGCAGGTGGGGAGCAGGGGGTCTGTCCCATGGAAGTCAAAGGAGAGAGCGGGAGCTGGAGAGTGACAGAGGGACCAAGGCTCAATGCTGTTGTGATATAAACAGAAGTAGGTAAACTAACCTAAACTACAGAGAGTCCTGTGGCACCTTTAAGACTAACAGATGTATTGGAGCATAAGCTGACATGCATCCGACGAAGTGGGCATTCACCCACGAAAGCTTATGCTCCAATACATCTGTTAGTCTTAAAGGTGCCACAGGACTCTCTGTTGCTTTTTACAGATCCAGACTAACACGGCTACCCCTCTGATACTTAACCTAAACTAAACTCCATATTTCCCAAAGGGGACATGGATAAACTCGTTATCCATGTGTGCCATGAACTACCCTGCTGAAAGGGCTGGGTTTGCACAGGAGAGCAAATCCCATTAGCGCCAGGAGGGCAACAAAGCTAGGAAGACGCTGGGTGAATTTGGAGGGTGACTGGGGAAGGAATGAAGCTGAGGGGTATTGAGGACAGCTGCTGTGTGTGGAGCGTGTGCAGACTCGTCATGTTTGCCCTGGTAGGGTTGGGGACTGGGAGGTTCAGGCCTGTTTCCCCTTCCCCCACCAGGAGGCTTGGCTGCTGGATCTCCCTGCTTGTCCTTGGTAAAGGTTGGGAGCAGGCTGTTCAAGGCGCGGGCAGACCCATATCCTGAGGAGCCTCACAAGCTCAGGCCGGTGGGGAAGGCTGCGGTGACCTCAGTGGATGCAGAGTCACCAAATCCCAACAGCTGCTTCCAATTAGCAGATAGCTCAGTGCAAGGGGCTGGCGCGGCTGGTCCAAGCCCTGCCTGTGTAATGTGAGCCAGGCTGCCTCGCTCGCTTGCTCACTCCCCTCCCTTCCCGAGGCACTGAGCTCCCTATAAAACCAATGGCAGACTCAGCCACCCTGCAGAAAGCCATTAGCCAGCAGCACCCCCCACCACGCCACACCAGGATTCCAGACCACAGAGCTGGGGAGGGGTGCAGAGGGAAAGAGGCAGGGGAGATGATGGGGCTTTAGCAAGGTTTGTGTTCTGGACTAAAATGCACTGGGTTCCCCCCAGCAACAGCACCTCCAGCTTCACTCATGTCCTGGGGCCTCCAATACCCAGCACAGGGCTGGCATATCAGAGGTACTGGGAGATACAGGCCCAGGGGAAGGAGAAGGGGGTTATTAATGAGCAGGGGAATGAAACAGAGAGCACATCCAACTGTCCATCCAGCTACAGAATTTCCTGTCTCCTGGCGTGTCTAGGGGTACATCTACACTGGACCTGAAGTGTAATTTCCAGCCCGGGGAGCCGTATCTGCACTAGCTCTGATTGAGCTAGCATGCTAAAAACTGAAGTGTAGCTGCAGCAAGACAGGCTAACCCCCTGAAGATGTACACAGGATTTCAGACAGGATCCTGCTTCAGATGACTAGCCTGTCCTGCTGCTTGTGCCATCACTGCACCACTTCTATTCTTAGCACGCTAGAATTTTGATTAGAGCTAGAGTGGGTGTGTCCACCCGAGCTGGAAATTATGTGTCCAGCTCGAGTGTAGATTTACTCAAAGTGCCATCTACTAGGAATGGTGAATTGGGCACCACTTACCCCTATTGGAAGGACAGTGAAGGGAGTGGCACAGAGGGTATGACCATGCAATGAAGATGGCTGCAAAGAGAGGACTCTGAGTGACTACAGAGAATTCTTTTCCAGGAATCTCCTGGTGGGTCTTGTCCACCGACTAGATGATCAGGATGGTTCCTCCTGGCCTTAAAGTCTATGAGGTCCCTACATGTATAAAAATATTATTAAGCCCTAGTCTTCACGTAGGCTCCCTGTACCCACAACTTTAAACTCCTAGCCTTCAAAGCCAGATAAAGCCCATCAATGACTGGCAAAGGTTCTGCCTCCCAATCCCTACCCAGCTGGCATGTGGCTGGCACCCCGGCCCCATATACTCCAATTCCCCTTCCAACCCCTGTCCAACTCCTCCTGCTCTGCAGCATGACCCCATATCCACTGCTCCCCTTTCCAACCGCTACCCAGCTCCCCCATGGCCTGCACCCCGACCCTTCTCCACCGCTCCCCCTTCCAGCCCCTCCCTGGCTCCTCCTGGCCTGCAGCATGACTCCATCTCCCTACCATTACTGTATACATTGCCCCACCCCCCCCATTCCCTTACCAGCAATCTGGGACTGCAAATGCCTTGAGCAAAGGCTGGCCCTGGAGCAGCCAGATAAACCCCCACCCACACTCCAGACCCTCTCAGATAGTGTACCACAGCCTTGTCATGCACACAATACACTCCCAGCTGGCGCACGCACACACAATCCTCTCTCTCTCTCACACACATACAGTGTCGCTCTCACACACGCAATACACTCCCAGTTGGCTCATGCACACACACACTGTGTTTTTCTGTCTCACACACACAATGTCTCTCTCACACACACAATACACTCAGTGGGCACGCACACACAGACACACAATGTCTCTCACACGCAAAAAATACACTCAGTGGGCGTGCACACACATACACAGACACACAGAAACACACAATGTCTCTCTCTTACACACACAATACACTCAGCTGGCACACACAGTGTCTCGCACACACTTACAGCTTTTATACCCTCACAGCTGTTTAGTGCACAAACACACACTCACAGTTTCTCCCACACCCTCTCTGCTCACGCAGCCTGTGCAGCCAAAGCACCCGAGTGGCCTGACACGTTCCCGGAGCGTGGCCAAAGCCAGACACGGGGACCCTCTGGAGCCGCTGCCCCTCCAGACAAGGCATGTGCAACCACCGCCCCATCCATGCACCCCCCCTTCCAGACTCCGCACCCCATTGTCTCGCACTGCCGAGCAGAACAAAGCGCTCGGTTTCCACAGCAAGAATTTACCGGAGGGGCCGTGACCGTGTAAACGGGGGCGGGCCGGGAATCCCGTTCTTACCCCTCCGGAGCGGGTACCTGGGCCATGGGAGGGATGCGGAGCAGAGGCCGGGAATGGGGGAGGGGCTGCGGGGAGGCGGCTGGGCCCCGCGGCAGCAATGCGGGAGCCTGCTCCAGTCCCCCCGCGAGGAGAGCACAAAGCGGCCGTCCCCGCTGTGTCTGGGCGCAGCCCGCTGCGCGGCGCCAAGCCGGGGAGCGTGGTGTGGGGGGGGGGAGACGGGGAGGGGGCGCGGGACTGGGAGCTGGAGGGGTGGGTACGGGGGTGCGGGG